GGCTAAGATCGGGGGTAGAGGTGATGCCTGCGGAGGAACGCTGGGTAAACTACTCCGTGCTTGAGGTGGAGCTGGGGCAGAATGGGCTAAGATCGGGGGTAGAGGTGATGCCTGCGGAGGAACGCTGGGTAAACTACTCCGTGCTTGAGGTGGAGCAGGGACAGGGTAGGCCAGGGAAGGGGGTGGAGGTGAGGGGTGCGCCGGGACAAGGGGTAAACTGCCCCATGCTTGAGGTGGAGCTGGGGCAGAATGGGCTAAGATCGGGGGTAGAGGTGATGCCTGCGGAGGAACGCTGGGTAAACTACTCCGTGCTTGAGGTGGAACAGGGACAGGGTGGGCCAGGGAAGGGGGTGGAGGTGAGGGGTGCGCTGGGACGTTGGGCAGACTGCTTCGTGCTTGAGGGGCAGGATGGGGGAGGCAGGGACCTTTGACAGACTCCGCCTTCACCTGCAATCAGAAGTTAAAATGTAAAAGGACAATGGAGCCACAAAATGATAGACATTTCCAAGAAGAGCAGTTTCCATAATGCATCACAATGCACCACACGTGACAACACAATACTGGTTATTCTGCTTAAAACTCACTTACAGAATGTGGCAGCGTAGCACAACAGAAAATAAACCAGCAAAATGCAAGTATGAAAATCACATGGATGCAAGAGACAAAATATTAATGATAATGTTCAGGATTTAAACCGTGAGGAAGAGAGATATAACTGCAGCAAATGGTCTCTCCTCCTCTCTTTAAAGTCAGCACGGGTAAGCAAGTCTCAGTTCTTCTGCACATAAGGTACCAACACACACTCTTGCTAGAAACTGAAAAACACCCTGAAGGAACCAGCAACAGTGGATTTTCATTCAAGCGCTCATGGGAGTTTTACTTACACAAAAATGTTCTGAGGGCAGAATGAAAAATGATTGGTTATCTCTCTGAACCAATCAGATTGAAGAGGAGGTGGGTCCAAGCAACAAGACCAATCAGATGTCTTGGTCCCGCCTCCTCTGGTTGCTTGGACCCTGCTCCTCTACAATCTGATTGGTCATCTTTGAACCAATCATTTTTCATTCTGCCATCCGAACATTTTTGTGTGAAGTAAAACTCTCACAAGCCATTCAACCAAAGCTCAGAGATGGTGCATTAAGCAACACAAAGCCAGGACAATACCTTCACAACCCTCACACCAAGAAACAACTGATGAGAAACACGTCTGAAGAGAATCTGACTTTTAACGAAACAAGGCAGACTGCTAAGGTAAACATCTCACTGGGAGGCTCAGTGTTTTGCAGCTCTCACACATGTGCACAGTTCCCATCCTTGCTCTGTTACACATAAAAAACTGGTCTAACTGATGGCTTATCAGCATCTGTGTTCCACAAGGCTGCATGTTTTCCCCCCACAATGAAAGAGGGACGATCAGCTCTGGCAGTTCGACTGGCACCATGGTGGAGGCACACTGGGAGCTGACTGACTTGGAAGCCTGGATCTGGGATCCACTGACTGATTTATGAAGGTGGCAGATTGACCACTGACAGAAAAGCTGACATCAGCCTGGAAACAGGATGAACATCCGGGTCTGTCAGCAGACAGGCTGGGGCAGGGAAGACTGTAGCGGAATTAAATCACTGCCAGGCCAGAGCCGAGCGCCATCACAACACGTGACGCACGCAAACATGTGCACCACATCGACACTACCTGCACACTTCAGTAAATCACACTTCCCACTCGGGGAGGATAAAACAGACTGACAAGCTGGGTTAATCCAATAAGGGGGAGGACCCATCAAACAGGGAAGGGGGATTAAATTAAAAGTGCTCTGTGAATGGACTATGTTAATGAAACAGACGGAAAAAAAACAAGATAAAAATCAATATATCAGCAGAGTGAGCGAGCATTCCGCTTCAGGAGCCAGCCAGGCTGGACGGGACAAGCTGGCGGGCTCATCGAAATCTCCCTGCTGCGGATTACAGACTCCAGGGTCACAGTTAAAGGACTGGCAAACCCCTAACCTCAATCTCCACTAGTGCACAAGGGCATGGCTTTGCGAGACTTGACCTTCGACCCCTGGGTAGACAAGGGGAGAGGAGAGAGATGAGGAGAGTAAAAACATTGACAGGCATGCTTTTTTACTCTTCCTTGTGCAGAAGAGCACAGAAGGGCTAGATAAGCCATGTTATTGAAAATACAAAAAAGGTCTTCTTCATCCAGTCATTTTCAGGACCAGCAAGTTCAGGACACACAAAGACATGGTGAACTGCATGATTCATCCTATGCCGGGAAGGAATCCAAAAATTTGATGAGAATGCTTGAAAGACATACTTATACAAAGCAAGTCGACAGTTTGTAAATGTATACAGTAATCCACAAAATACAGGCAATCTATGCATGGCGCTGCCTTCTGCTGTATGGATGGCTTAGGGCAGCAGGAAGACAGGGTGGTGGGGAATAATGTGGGGGGGGTGGGGGTGAGACAAAGCAAGTAAAATGGCCAGGCCTCACCTTGCTGCTCTCCTGTAGCTGTGTGCCCCTTTTCCAGGCCTCAGAGAAAATGGAGCTGACCACACTCTGGGAGCGGGCGTGGCTTACGCAGGCGGCGTCCGACACGCCGCTGTCTGATTGGCTGGAATGGTTGGAGTGGGACTCTAGAAAACAGATGGAGGGCTTGAGTGTTTGCATGTCACAGCACACATACTTTAACCTGCTGCTTGTGTGAGAGATTTGTGTGAGATCTCCATCTTTCTGTCATAACACCTGGCAGGCTGGAGGAGCTGGAGCCAGATTTGATGCTGGAGCTGGACAAGGAGGACCAATCGTAGGCGGCTTCTGTTCGCTTCATGGCCTCCTGGTAGTTCAGATACAGCTGCTTCCCGTACTGCAATAGCACATGGAAACAAAGGTATCATCAGACGCCAGGTTGAACAGAAAACCTACTGGACAGTAGCTTTCCAGGATCAGAGTTGGAGAGCCCTGCCTCCCAGTGTGCAGCAGAAGATTCATCTCTTGATCCCTGATAGTGATTACCTTGGCAATGCGGATCCCATTGATCCACTGGTGGAGAGTCCTGACATCATCACAGCAAAGATACTTGATGTACTGAGACTTCTTCTGGATCTGAGGATGCTGTGTCAAACAAAACAAGAGATAATGTGCATGACATATTCAGCCCAGAAGATGGCAGCAAAAACTTATCCCCACCTTCAGTCACACCAAGACATTGATCTAAATTCTCCCTTATCTTTCAAAAGATAATAGGGTAAAGAAAAAACATCAAACACATGCTTTTGCTTTTTTTTCCCCTGTAGCTCTGTTTTAATTAATTATTCCCCAAACCGTCAGCTTGCATTATTGTAGAGACTGATTATTGTATATGCAGTCAAACTGTATTCGCTGCACACAAGTTCACCATTATGTCCCCACTTTGTATAATGACAAATGGCAAATGTTACAAAAAGCTCCACTATGAAGCTGACTTGTAATGAAGAGTCCTGGAACAGCTTCTGATTCATAAGGAGCCCAGTGTGTTTCAGCCATGAGCAAGGCAGCTGGTCCGTGGAGGCAGAGCTGGTGTTACCCTTTCTATCAGATTAATTTCTGAAATAAGTAACTCTGAAATGCCTTACCTCATAAAATCTTATTGTCGTTTAAAAACACATTTTCTCTCTTCTTTGCAAACATTCACTATTGTAAGATTGTAAATTGTATTGCAACATTGTAAACCGTGACACCTAGAGGCCAGAAGGATTGGCCAGTGTGCCTGAAGGGGTGCTGAGGACCAGGGGAGAGCTGAACTGCCTCAAAATGGGCGGGTCGCCTGCAAATCAGTGCAAAGAAAACCCTCCTAATTCTATATTCGCAAAAACACACTGAATAGCCTGCCAGTGGACTTATGCCTCTTTACAGATCAACAGTCAGGGTAATATATTGACATCATGTTGGTCAAATGAATGATTTTGAAGGTCTATCCTTGCATCTCTCTCTGCTTTTTAGCATGATGATCAGGGGTTTAAGCGTGAGATATAATCAGATAGCGAGAGAGCAGAAAATTTATTTCACATAGTGTTACTTTTGGTTATTGAACATTTCTTTCAAATTTTAGTGTCCAATTTGACCCTATTCTGTATTATTCTTGTCATTTATTAATATCAGAATAACATTTTGTTTTGCTTCCTCGTAATTTAAAGTGCATGAGACACTGTTTTGAATAACTGCTTCTTGTTACATCTGACACTCTTGATAAGCATCTTAATGTTTAACCTTTATAAAAGAACTTTGTGTCAAACCCTGTAACATTATTTTACAGTTTAATATTTTTGAAAGTACAGTAGTCCTCCCCCCTTATCTATGGGGGATATGTTCCAAGACCCCCAGGGGACGCCTGAAGATGCAGAGAGCATTGATCGGGTTCAGTATGTTTTTTCCTATACATAAATACTTGTGATAAAGTTAATTTTATAAATTAGGGACAATAAGAGATTAAAAACAATAACTAATAATGAAACTGAATAATTATAACAATATTCTGTCCTCATAAGTACTTACTAAAAAGGGGAGGGTGGTTATTTAAGCACAAGCACTGTGATAATGTGAGATTCCATCTGATAACGGTGACTGCTAAGTGACTAATGCGAAGGCTGGGATACGCTGGACAAAGGGCTGATTTAGGTCCTGTGCTGGACAAGGTGAGATATCATCATGCTGCTCAGAATGACAGGCAATTTAATACTTATGAATTATTTTCGGAATTTTCCATTTAATACTTTTGGTTAAGAACATAAGAACTATACAAACGAGAGGAGGCCATTCGGCCCATCGAGCTCGCTTGGGGAGAACTTAACTAATAGCTCAGAGTTGTTAAAATCTTATCTAGCTCTGATTTAAAGGAACCCAAGGATTCAGCTTGCACTACGTTATCAGGAAGACTATTCCATACTCTGACTACACGCTGTGTAAAGAAGTGCTTCCTTAAATCCAGTTTGAAATGTTCTCCCGCTAATTTCCACCTATGGCCACGAGTTCTTGTATTTGAACTAATGCTGAAGTAACTATTCAGTTGAACAGCATCCAAACCTGTTAGAATCTTATAGACCTGGATCATGTCCCCCCTCAGTCTCCTTTGCTTGAGGCTGAACAGATTTAGCTCAAATAACCTTTCCTCGTATGACATTCCTCTAAGACCAGGAATCATTCTTGTGGCCCTACGCTGCACCTTTTCTAAGGCCGCTATGTCCTTTTTAAGATATGGTGACCAAACCTGTACACAATATTTTAGGTGAGGTCTCACCAAGGAATTGTATAATCTTAGTATTACCTCCCTTGACTTAAACTCCACACACCTGGAGATATACCCCAACATCCTATTGGCCTTTTTTATTGCTTCCCCGCACTGGCGAGAATGAGACATGGAAGCATCAACATACACACCAAGGTCTTTCTCATAATCAGCTACCTTTATTTCAGTAGGTCCCATAAAATACCTGTACTTTATATTTCTGCTCCCTACATGGAGTACCTTACATTTGTCTATGTTAAATTTCATCTGCCAGGTGTCAGCCCAGTCACTAATTAAATTAAGATCCCGCTGTAGCTGCTGAGCCGCTAGTTCAGTATCTGCTACACCACCCACCTTGGTGTCATCTGCAAATTTCACCAGTTTACTGTATATATTGGTGTCTATATCATTTATGTAAATTAGGAACAAAAGTGGTCCTAAAATTGAACCCTGCGGTACCCCACTATGAACGCAGGCCCACTGTGACATTGAGCCTCTTATAACTACTCGCTGCTTCCTATCCGTTAACCAGTTATCAATCCAGGTCGCTACAGTTGATCGTGGGTAACACACTGCAGAAATAAGGAGGGACACTGCAGAAAGAAGCCAGCCTGTACAGTGACAGGAGGCAGTGGGCTGAGCTCTTCCCTCCTCAATTACCCCCCTGTTTTTAGCTGACAGCTGCCACTGCCCATGTGCCAAGTTAACTGCATGTGCAGCTAAACCCCAGAGGACGTTATCAAACGGGGCATCACAGCTCACAGTGACGCACGTCTCACCTTGAGGGTGAAGCAGTAGTCCGTAGGGGCCTTGTACTTGCTGCGGTAGTCCTGGCCATAGTACACGTTCACATGGTCCAGCTGCAGGAAGCACACTAGGTCCCGGGAGGCCTGGGGAGGAAGCGGTGACTAATAAGCAGACAAGCCTTTGAGGCTGTACTTCTCTGTATGCGTGTACACATGCAAATCCAGACACAGGCTGAGCAGACATGTTGGGGAGCCATCTGTGAAATCCCTGCTTCCTCCACTAGGTGGTGCTAATAGTGAACTGTGCTGGGAGGAGTGAAGCAAGGTGGCAACCAGGGGAGGGGAGGGAAGGGTTGAAAATCCTCCTTTGTCCTATGAGCCTGTTACTCTGCCCTTAGTGTCCCGCTCAGTTGGATCCTGGATTCTGTGGAGCGTTTGCGTGCGCATGCTCTGACACAAACCTTGGCTTTGCCCTTTGGCACATAGTACATTCCAGAGGCACGGAGCAGGAAATAGCGTTTCTTCCACGACTTCTTGCCATCCTCCTTCAGCCAGAGCACCCCCTCAATCTCCGGCACGGACACAGAGCTGCCACAGAAACACTCCTGCAGGGAGGGACCACAAGCGTGATGGTCAGACGAGACGGCTTCCCTGATGCCTTCCATCCCCCCCCCACCTGCGTCGCTTACCTCCAGCAGAGCCTCTTTGTTCCGATCTGCCATCTCTGACGTCTCCTTCCTGCCCAACAAGTAGTTCTGGCAGTAACATAGACAAGGACATGGGAGACAAAGAGACGATTAAAGAGGAGGAGATAAGATATTCACAACATGGACTGTGACATACAGAATAATCACTATGTAACCATGCAACCTTCCACCCATTTAAATCAATTACATATCGCTTTTCTAAGAAAGGTGAGCTTTCAGGTAAAAATCGGTCAGTAAGTTCAAAGCACAAATGTACTTGATGCTTGAAATTCTTTTTGTGTCTCAGGGGAGCAGGATGGCGTAGACGAAGAGACACATATAGGTGACAGCAAGCTTCAAATCAAATCATATCGGCTTTTGTCAATTCCCTATATGTTCATAACATACAACGGAATCGAAATGCTGTTCCTCTCTCGTCTTTGTAATACAGCATAAAAAAAACTGTACAGTATACAATACAATATACAGGCAGCAGTGCAAACAGTGATTTAAAGTGAGGAAGTGCATTCTAGAGCAGCTTGGCGGTCTCAGTGAGGGGACAGCCACATATGAGGCCTGTGGACCTAGGGCCTCGCTCCAGGACCCACGGAAATGCGACTATTCTACTAAAGCCAGGCTCAACCCAACGACCTTCCACTCATAACCAGGTAGGCTTAGCCTACTGAGCCACACACTGCCCCCAAACTTGAAACTAGAAAATGGTTAACTACACTATCATTAACGTCATCACTGGCAGATCAGTAAATTCAAAACCGACTTGTGTTTTGCTTGTGTCTTCTATAACACGCAAAGACCAGCACTATCTATGAGAGAGAGGATGACTCTTAATATGCAGACTGAAACCTGCCTTGCAGTCACACATGCAATCAATTATTCAGTCTCACACGCAGTTCGGTGACCTACTTTCGAGCAAACGGCAGGCAGGCTGCCTTGCTGAGATCTGCTCGTAGGCACACACTAGATGCGTATATCCTGTGTGAGAGTGTTTTTGCGCATATGCGGCGTGTGTCGGGAATGCGCTTCCAGAGCCTCACCTGTGGGTTCTTGAAAAGAGCGTACTTCTCAATCCGCTCTATGAACATCAGCTTGTTGTGGCTGTCCCGGGTCCAGTTCAGCAGGTTTTCTACCAGGTTCTCATGGTCCTCAAAGATACGCTCTATGGGAAACCAAAAACACATGATTAGAGCTACAAGCCCTCTTACTGCATTTGTACATTAAGTACATTTCAAGAAACTAAGGAGGTAAAATCGATAGTACAACAGATTATGGACAAGAATTCCAGCAGCAGAAAACATTGACTGTAAAGATGCACACCTCCATGACATGAAGGTGCCCACCCCAATCTCCAGCCAACATCTCCACCACCACCAACAACTTCAGCATTAACTGGCAACCATCACCAAACCGATAACTCAACATTTACCACCATCAGCAGCTTACACACCGGTCACAATAAGCAGCGAGTTCATCATGACCAAGCAGCTGGAAGATGCTCCTCTCGCATCAGCCTCATCGCCATCCAACAGCTCCCCCACCCCCGCCATAAACATCACCGAGCCGCCCTGCACATTCATTCATCCCGCACATTTACAGACTGATCCCACTGTTACCACAAATACACAAGTTCACTGGACTCCTGAAAACTCCTGATGCGCACCTATTAACCGAATTCACTAGTTTTAGTTTATTACGCGTTTAAAGACTGAATCATGTCTTAAAATAAAACTTGCTAATTGTGTTTCTGCTTACAGATACTCCAAGAAAAAGTGAGTCACTTTTGGCCAAACTCTCCATTTTATTTTAACATAAAAGCAGAAAGCTGGCAATGCGCAGAGATTTTCTGGCATAAATCTCTCTGCAGTCACATTAGCATCGCAGGCAAAGATTTATTGGGGGAGCTGTGCGTGTTTTTATTTACGGGGGCTGGCGCTGTGTTTTGGCAGCTTTCCAGTTTGGATCTTTTGAAGGTCAGTCACTCTGGAATTGGTATTTTCAGATTTTCATCTTCAGCAGCCCTTAATCAGTCATAATGTGTCCGAACTAGACCGTGCCGACTTCAATTTACACCCATTAAGAGCTATTTGTGTCGCCAGCAGAAAGGATGGAGTTTATCTGCCCTCCCAGTGGGGCAGGAAGCTTTAGGGTGAGGCTCATAAGCTGACTGCAACAGCCTCAGGAAATCCTGCTCTCTCAACCAATCAGACTCTCCATTAATATCACCACTGGTTCGGATTTGAATCGGATGCATCTTCCATCCATGTATTCCGGTCAGGGTCACAGGGAGATAAGTTTCTAAATGGTTGTGTTACTGCTTAGGTAATATGGACTTAAATTCAATAATTTAATAATTGAATTAAGCATTTATATCTCCTCTTTCTGCAAATGGTAAAAGTGCCGTGTAATTATCTTAAATTGCACATGCAATCTTGCTGAACTATTTCACTTTAACACATAAAATTACAGTGAGGCTTCAGCTAACATTTCAGTGGCAGTCATGCAGTGAGGCAGCAGTGAGGCTGAGCTTAATTTAGAACCAAGCGGAGTGAAATCCTGGCTCCCCGGGCCCACAGTTACAGGACCAGCAGGAGGACGAGGGCCCCTGTGTGAAATACAGCCCAGTGGGGCTGTTGGTAGAGCTGGAAGCCCTCGCACACGGTACCAGGCGTGCTTTTGGACCACATGGCTGTCGGTCCATTCTGTCCCATAGAGACCCCACCCGGCCTTTGAACAGAACGGTCTGCCTCCGCTTTAGTCAGGGATCGAGACATTTTCCCCGAGTCCGACTCAGATGGGCTGCCCCCCCACCCTGCTCCGGCACACAGGGCCTGACACCCCGCTCCAGCCCACAGCCCTGGACATGTAGGTTAGGTCATGCGCTTGACTGCTCTGGAACTGCGCAGAGGGCCATATGAGCAAGAATGAGCCATGACTAAGCCAGCTGTCATGGGAGAGCAACCAAGGAGGCTTGGAAGGCATGAGAAGCGGGGAAGCGTGGCTCCATACCAGAGGGATCATGGTGCTTCAGGAACTTTCTGTAGCATAATGCAATACATCGTACCTACGATAGCAGAGCAAACAGTAAACAGTACTGCTGTCACTAATCCGTCTGCATCCCTATGAAGGGCACCAGCTGCATGAAATTGATTTTAATTGCCTTTTGCGCTGAGGACAGAGCAATTGGAATCGCACTGTTTTTACAGATCTGTTATCACCGATTAGTACATCTTTCTCTTCTCCAGCAGAACAGTGGGAGTCTCTGCCCGGTCTGGACGTGAGGAACAGTGCACACGTTATAATAAGCCATATGTGACAAATACTTCTTGTTTCAGCACTATAAAACCCTTGTGGACAGCATCAGGCCTAGCAGTAGGAGACCCAGAGCTGGCACACAGCTGGGAAAGCATTTGCATGGGTGCCTTGGTAGAGAGAACACGATTCAGTAAATTCAGACAATGTCTGCATGGACAGGAAGTGCTCCCTGCCAAACATCAGAAAGACTTGCTATGCCAGAAACATGCCGGTACAGTCACACAGCCATTAATAACCTGGCAAACACAGCGGAAGAAGCTTCACCGCTCAACCAAACATTAAAATGTACGCCACATCCCCTCAAGAAGGTGTGTGACACTTCCCAGAGGAGAAAGAGCTTATCCCAGAAACTTCCATATATAACATGCTACAGCATTCATTTTTCAACAAGACATATTATACCAGAGACGTCTTCCTACTGTAGCACCAAGAATGCCAGACCACAAGATTCCCAAGACTGCAGCACAAGTTTCTAAAGAAAGACCTAAAACAGACTGTCCATCAGAAACCAGCTCAGAAGGTTCCATTCATTTCAAAGGCAAAATTCATGGAGGTGCAGTGATATTGTTAGGGTATGGTAGAGTACTCCATGCTGCCCAGAACACTCCTTTGCACTTACCCATTTGGAGTTCATTGATGGTCTCTACCAATGACCAGTCTGGGCTGTAGCCACAGTGGGACTTGTCGAGCAGGCTGTCCAGCACCTGTCGAACAGACTGACGCTCGTCCACCATCATGGTCTTGGAGCTTTCGTCCGACATGTGCACTCGGATCACCAGCTAGGATGGAGAGGGTAAGGAAACTGTCTGTAAAGCTCCACGAGGCATTCTGCAGTGACTGCGCAGGGAACGTGAATGGGAAAAGTGCATTTCCTGGTTCAGTTCGGGAAAATATGAAAAACGCTACATCTACTCTGAAACTGTGTATACAAAAGACAGATCATTAAATTCAGAGCCCAGGAACACAGGATCACAAATCACAGTCACTCACCTAAGACATACCTTAAATTGTCCAACAGGCCTAAAAGGAGTGCATTTTACTATAGTTTTGCAGTGTATTGCACAGGAATGTTGCATCCTGTTTGTTGGGATATATATCATCACAAATGTTGGAACAAGAAATCTATGTAAAAAAATGTATGTATGTAAAAAAACTGCTGTAACAATGGGACTAAAACTAGTGCAGAACTTTATTTACTTAAAGACAAGCAATGATTCACCTGCCATTGGTTACCCCATTGCTTGATACTCAAGACATTTTTAATATAGTTGCAGCCAGCTACACACTGCGATACAGCTACACACTGCGATACAGCTACACACTGCGATACAGCTACACACTGCGATACAGTATCAGATAAAGTTTCCATAAATGTTCCAGTCACAAATCTCTTTAGGTGCCACAGTATGTTTAGAATCTTTCTTCACATAAAACTGATGAACTGAGAGACCCCTCAATGACAGCATGCAGTGACGAAGCAGACCTGATGGAGGACTTGTGCGATTAGATTGATAATCCCCCCCCCCACCCACGCCACCCACAGTGCCTAGGGAAATGTGGCACGGGTCCCTCTGATGGGCAGATTACTCCACATCCATGCCAAGGGCCGGAGGCGATTTTGAGGTCATGCTGCACGTGGCACATTCAGCTCGAGCATCCAGGAATGGAGGGCTGGAGCAGAGCTACAGTACTCTCTCCTCAGGGCAAAGGCCCTCTGCATGGCTGCCCAGAAGCAGCAGGGTGTGGTGAACAGAGCCGAGCGGGAACCTGCTCATATACAGCAAAGCCGCCACGCAGAAAGGATGTGTGCATAAAAGGCTGCTCTCATTGGGTGACTGGGTCAGGGAGCAGCTTCATAAGGCTCATTCATAGGCTCACAATGCCCACGGAGCCACTTCAGCCACCAGCCCCCTGCTCTCATTGGGTGACTGGGTCAGGGAGCAGCTTCATAAGGCTCATTCATAGGCTCACAATGCCCACGGAGCCACTTCAGCCACCAGCCCCCTGCTCTCCCTCCGGTCTGTCAGTTTAAATCAGCCACGGCGTCCAGCTTCCTCATTAAGACTTCAGTGTTCATCTCTCTCCCTCCCTCCCTCCCTCCCTCCATCCCTCCCTTTGTCAGTTGCTTTTATCTCCCTCAGAGACATGCTCACTAGAACCCAATTCATGAAGCTTACACAATCATAAATGCACAGAAACAGTGACCTATTTATTAAATATTACATTTGAATCAAGAGCAATACGATTAGGTTCGTTGTAATTACATCTGCTGCAGCCCTGCAGTGTTGAATGAAACAATTGGACACAGACACACACAGATATCATGGGGACTTAAGTTACTATGACCCATTTCTGGTGTTTATATTTCTCTCACAGGAGCTCTGTGAGGGACAAACAGCTTCCTTGTAAACACATTGCTTCCATCAGCTCAGGATTTAAAGTAGAGTGACATCCTATGGCTCTGTGTATACATGCATGCTTGTCCACCATGTTGGTTTCTAATGCACTAGCAAACACACCTTTTTCACTTGTGCCTCCTTGATCTTCTCCAAAGCCACCCGTATCTTCTCTGCCTTCAGCTTGGCAGCCTGCTCCTCCTATGGGCAGACAAGACAGGTGTTAGAAGGCATGCACACAGACAACCCAGTAACAGGGCTATCCTGGAAAACCCTGTTCCATGACAGATGCAGGCTCTCCAAGCCATTCCATGTTCCTCCAAGTAATGGGAATATAAAGCCCAGTTCTGGAACAGACATTCATTCTTCTTTTCTGACAGCCCATCACTTACCTGGCTTCTCCAACAGGAAGCCATAGTGTCACGCTCTATGCGACCAGCTCCGTTTCCGTACGCGGTCGTGGTAGGAAAAACAAATTCCGTGCCGCTCAATTTCTCATGGACATCGCTTCCCAGACACGGCGTTTGGAGCGGTCCTCCTCAGGGAAGGGTGAGGGAATCTGTCATTTCACAGCTCCCTTTGCAGCTGCATTTGAGAAGACCCGGTGTTTTTGGAATTATCCACAGTCGGTCAGAGGAAGCACAACGTTCGGAATACAGCTCAGCAGAGACTGCAGAAAGGATGTGGCGAAGTCCGATACCCCAGAGTAAGAGCAGCAATCCAGAGAGGAGTGGGACTGTTGCCCACAAGCGCTGACACTCATTGGCTCTTGAAAAGATCTTTCTTATACATTCAGCCACAGGTAGCCTAGATGTTCATTAAGACCAGAAACCACCAAGAACAGTAACAGTTCAGCAAAGCCAGCAAAGCAACGCAGGCAAACCCAGCAGCCCCCCGACTGCCTAGATCGTCCATAAGATGCTTACAGCCTGTCGGATTGGTGTAGCTGCCCCCGAGAGAATCACGCCAGCTTTGGACGCCGGGGGAGAAGCTGTCAAGATGACAGCATGATCCGAGCTGCCTGTTGAAACTGAGAGCACGAGGGCAGTGGATCCTTCTAGTGCAGCTCTGACAGAGACGTGCCAGACTCTACAAATGCAGGCAAGCGGTGGGGTGCAGAACCCTCCCCCTCCCCGTCTCCCCCCACACTTCTCTCTCTCTCAAACAGCTGCGGAGCGGGGAGAGTGGGGCAGTAATCCCCAAACACACACGTTGTGCTGATGGAGCTGCCTTTACCATGTGTTCTGTAAGTAATGCCCCCCCCCCCTGCTGACAGTAAGCAAATCTGCCCCTTACTGGGGCAAGTAACTGATTTAGCAACAGCAGAGTGACAAACGTACTACGCAGATAAATTATGCCTTTTAGCGACATATAAGCACAGCTATAGAATGGCTTGCAAACCAGCTAAAATGGTTCTTCTAACAACACATACTATGTGAAAGGCAGCTCAAGCATTTTAACTCCCTCAGACAGGCAATTCTGGCCTTCAGCCTTATGTGGCAAACAAACGAAACATGATCTCAGCTGCAGCTGGGGGGCTGAACACGACACAAACACAGGCCACAAAGGGTGTTCAGCAAAAAAGCACATAGACTGAGGCCACCCTGTGCATGGGGCACGTCGACTACACAATGTTGGGTCACACACCCTGTGCATGGGGCACGTCGACTACACAATGTGGGGTCACACACCATGTCAGCAAAAGTGAGGGTTTTTTCTCCCTAGAATGAATTGAGGCAGATTCCAATTAGCTGTAGCATCTGAAGACAGTTGATTTGTTCTTCAATGATGTCCGTGCCGTAAAACCAGCAGCTGTGCACCTCAATGCTAGACAAAACGGCTTTGGGTTTTCTTGAAAGTTTAATCAATGGAGTGAAAGATATTTAACACTGATAAAAAAAAATAATAATTACTGTAGCCTTGAGTCCAGAAAGGACCAAATATTTTGTATTTCACCCCCCCAACACTTTTGCACTTTTTATTTCTTTCATTGTCTGTATCTAAATTCTCTTTGTACTCTCTGTGCGAGTCCTTCCTCGCTGCACTGATATTGTATGATGCCATGAATTTTAATACCTAGAATACTTAGAAACATCAATCATATGCAACATGACACACATACCAACTTCTTTCCCAGAAAAACTTTACAGGTTTTGAGGCATTACTACTAATGATTCCAAAATAGAGAAACCAAGGCTATAAACTTGGGGTGGTGTCAACAGGCAGGGACTGTCTGGGTTCTGCTCATGTCTGATTGTCACCAGTTCACCTATGTGTGCTGCAAGGTTCTGTCCTGGGGCCAATCCTGTTCAACTCTTACATGCTGTCTTTTGGTGGTATTATTAGAAAACAGTGTGAGTTCTCATCGTTATGCAGATGACACACAGCTGTACATATCTGGCGAAACAGATGAACTGCAGTAGCTGTCAAAGACAGATATGCTTGGCTGAGGTTCGGAGCTGGATGGCCAGTAACTTCCGTCTGTTAAACTCTGACAAAACAGGTGTAACAACTGGGCCATAAAGCCCAGGGTGCTGCTGATTGCATTAAGCTTGATGGCTGCCTAGTCTATGTAAGCACAGTGGTTAAAAGCCTTGGTGTCACTTTTGACTCAGCTTTGTCTCTGGATGCTCACATAAATAATATGGTTAAAACAGATTTGTTCCATATAATCAAATTAGAAAAACGTAAAAGCAATGCTCTCCCTTCAGGATGCAAAAACATCAGCACATACCTTTATAACCTCTAACCTGAACTACTGCAATGCCCTGTCGGTTGGGTGAGCTACCTCTGCTGGTGCAGAATGCTGCAGCAAGAGCCCTAACAAGGACTATGAAATGTCAGCATATTAGTCCTGCGTTGGCCTCGCTCCACCGGCTTCCGGTTAGGTCTTACATGGACTATAAGGTGTTACTGCTAACCTAAACATCACTGAAAGGTCTAAGACCAGAGTACATCCGCAACTTTGCTGGTTCCATAAATCCAGTAGTCCGTCTGCTTCACTCTCTAGGGCTGGGCTCTCTGGCCGCGGCTGGAGTGAAATTACCTTCTTTGGAATAATCAGTGACTGGGCACCAAAGTAATGGAAAAGTCTAGCAGCAAACATCTGAGATTCAGACTCACTCCTGACATTTATGTCAAGGCTACAAATTTGCTTGTTTAGTCTTGCATATGGTGACAAAGCTGATAGCTAGGTTTACAGGTACATACAGGTACCTGCATATGGAAGCGGGAACACCGGAGACCGGGCTCCATAGCTACAGGCATGAAGTGCTGAGATACAGTACACACACAGTACTCTACAGCAAATAGCTGAAATATAAAACCACAACACTATTATAAAAAGAGATTGCACTTAAGCTTCAAGAAAAATGAGGCAGGAATTGCAGTACGAAATCAGGAGCTGAGAGGAGACTGCGCCTGCAGCTGCAGCGAAATGTTGTACTGTACAGTAAGTTTCTGTTCATGTGACGAAACAGCACAGAATATTACTGTATCTGTATTTTGTCTGCTTATTGTAGCTGTCCATCACATTTGCATTACAGTGCGCATACTGTATTCCAAGGTGGAAATGGACAGTGGGTCATTATCCAGCTGCCAGCGCTACCCATTATCCTACACTAAGTGATACACCCGCTAAGCTCCTGCTACATCCGCTTTCCGATCAGTGTGTATTATTTACTATGAACCTCAGACATGTATACGATCAAACGTCACTCAGCCGGACGCATGTTGACAGACACCTGCATAATGAGTGCTGGTCGCCGTGACCCCTCCCCTCGGCTAAATGGGATGCCTTCAGCCTGTGTTTTCAGGTCAATTTGTCAGACAGTCCAAGACACCCACTTACCTTTTCAAGCAGAGTAAATAACCATTAGACAGCAGCTTTCACATATGTACACATCACCGGGCAGGATCTTAATGCAGGACTGCATTAGGGGAATATGGGACTCTGCACTTGCTGTGCAGGAGAGTGGTAGTCTGCACACTGTAAGAAACGCTCTGCATTTACCACGAGGCCCATTAGAGGAATCTAATAAACCGTCCATCTCATGATCTTTGCCACATTATCACTGCAGTCAGTCTAAGGAGGCCTACAGAGGAACATTAATGACACCTCATGCACAATACCTCTGATCTGCTTTTGTCTGTCTGTGATGTAATCTGTGGATACAGGGCAGCGTGTGGCTCAGTGGGCTAAGCCTGTGTGCCTGTAATCAGAAGGTCGCTGATTCAAACCCAGCCTCCGCACGTCTGCGGGTCCTTGAGCAAGGCCCTTAACCCCCAGCTCCGTGGGCGCTGCTACGGGTAGCTACCCTTTGCGGACAACTTACTCTACAAAAAAAGAGCAAGTTGAGGGAGGCGTAAAGACAATTTCCCCACAGGGATCAATAAAGTATCAATTATTATTATTATTATTATTATCTGCTTGTTCCATCCTAAACCTTACATGCTCCTACATTATGTTACTATGAGAAGTCACCCGACATGGGCCTTTGGGGTCAATCTGACCCCAGGGTAGTTGTGAGAGCTCGAGTTTACAGATATCATGAAAGATTCTGCTAAATTCACAGTAATTTAAAAGACCACAGTATTCAACCTATGGTGTCCCACACACTTGCTGCACTCTAATCCAAACACAGAATACCTGCAGGTCCAAAGTGCACGTTGCCCAGATGAAGTCCATACTGGCACTGCCCACAAATGTGCACATGCATGCCCTCATGCCCCTTTACACTGCTTTACCTGTGCATGTACTCCGAAGTGTGTGACAGCACTGCCACGACGTAAGGAACTGAACTGACATGCGCACGCCATCTCTGAAGTGCCCCCCCAGTGGTAGCACAACGCAGACTGACGCATTAGGAAGATTCTGGAAACGCTCAAAGCTGCAGAAGAGAAGCACTGAGCGGCCAGGCACAGGAGACCATGCGGGGTGGACATGGGGACAGTGAAGGAGCAGGGGAAAGAACGAGCGTTAAGAAAAGAAGAAAGGGGCCTGTTTCACAGGATCATCAGGTATCGACCTGGGCGCACACTTAATTCTGCCTAAATACATGCAGGTCATCTATATATATCAATACTAATTATTGTACATAATGACCTAATGAAAACAGGGCCATTTCTCAAGGTGGGCGAGGGGGGGGGTGCGCAAAGACAAACAAGCAAAAGAGGGCGTCACCTGTGTCAGCAAGTGAGAGGGCTTTCCTGCAATGTTTTTCAGAATGAGGGAGGTTTCCCTGTCCAGATAGGAGTGCTTGGTGCAGAAACGGAGGGAAGAAAAAAAACAAGGAAAGTTAATGCCATGATTATACAAACAACTGCAGCTGATCCTTCACAGAGGCGTGGAAGCAGAGAATCACAGGATGGCTGTGCATCAAATAGTGATCAGTGGAAAAATCGGCAAAATGGGATTTCAGAAGCAAAAATGTTGCAGGACAGTCCCCCAGAAGCCAAAGTATTCAATTGAAGTTGAATTGAAACAGCTAAGCATCTAAAATTAGAGCTATTTAAAATGTTTTTTACATTATGGTCCTCATACATGCTGATAAACACTTTGGTACAGGAAATAACCCTTTTAGTATAGCCTAAGAGCTGCCCCTTCATCGCTCTGCGCATGATGTTGAGTTGCAGCAACTTCATGACCGTTTTGCGTAAACATTCCAACATTCACAATCTATGGGGACTAAGAAATGCACAATGTCCCACCAGGCTCCAAAAACACACAACTGTGGTGTACAACCCCCCCCCCAAAAAAACACACACATACCATTCTGGGTTTTCCAATTTCCAGGGTCTTCAGAAAATACACATTTACTATGTACTGAACACAAATGACAGTCAGTGAGAGGTACCAAGGCTTTGAAATGGGGGGGTGACGTAGAGGTGCGTGTTCACCAAGATCCCACACTAAAAGTACTATTCAGTGTATGAGCAGGCCTCACCGAGTCAAAGACTACTTACATCATGCGCTGACCCGAGCTTTGACTCATTTCTAAACAACCAAGCAGAGTGCGATTTCAAATCTGCAGGAGTCACACATGCAGCTCTGCATAAACGCCAGCATAAGGATGCCGGCGGGACCTAAGATGTGTGTGTGACATATTCAGAGCCAGCTGAACTCGTCACTCCTGATGGGGAAAGCTTGCTGTGACTCGGCCTGTGTTTCATTTTTGGGCCCCAGCACAATTTCCCCCTGCACAACAATAAGTTGTCAACAGGGGGCGTGAATGGGCAGCATTAGTTTAGATTTCGCTACAGCATTTTCAGAACAGACCGTTTGTATACGGTGCCCCTGCTTCCATCTGAACCCGTCGTATTTACAGCAAAAAGCAATAACTTAAAATGGTCGCACCACCATGACATAATTAGGAAGTAAAACTGTCACGAAACAGTGCGCTTCTACACATGGCTGCAATAAAAGGAGAAAGAGGGATAACTCGACCTCCTACACATGTTTTCTCCCTGTACCGTCTTCCAAAGGGAGGGAACATATTTCAAGCTGCGGACTTTAATAAAAATTTACTGAGCCTGTGGTTGGGGTTCTGGCCATCTATATTCCTGCTTTTTCTATCCACAATAGATCAACTGGACAACTGCCAATTTCCACCTTGCCAAAAGTGCACTGGTCAAAATTGGGTACATCCTGCACTGGGGAACTGGATGTGATCTGCAGAGACTGAGAAACTGGCTGCCGTTCTGTCTGATGGGCCTGGCTGGTGACACTGTCACATGGCTCAGTGAAGCCTTCAAAAGAGCCGGGAAGTTAGTCAGGGATCAGGAAGTCTAGGGTTAGACAAAGAGAGCTTCTGTCATAAAGATAGGAGGACATGCGCACCTCTGAGCTGGACTGCCCCGGGCTCAGGTCCTGGGGGGCCATGGGCTGCGTGGCGGGCCCCTGGGGGCCGTCAGGCCGCGGGGGGGCCTCAGGCTCAGGGGGACGCAGAGGCTTGTCCATGTCCAGCGAGTCCATGCTGCCGGCAGAGGCAGAGTTGATGCTGGAGCGGGGCGACTGCCCCAGGGAGCGGACCTCATGATTGCTGATGGCGCCAGCAGAGCCGGTCCTGCGGTGCTGGTGTGAAGAGGATGCGGCCCGGAGCAGGGTAGCTGTGGAGGAGGAGGAGGAGGAAGAGGGGGAGGCCGAGGAGGGAGAGGCCGAGGTCTGCCGGGCCGCCTCGTCCATGCTGAGCGAGGCCTGCTCCAGCTGGGCCGTGATGTCATCCAGGGAGAAGTTAGAGGCCAGTGGCCGGCTGTGAGAGCCGCCCCCCCGCACCGTGGAGGCTGGGGAGGCACGAGCGCTACTGCTGCTGCTGCTGCCTGCGCTGCTGCCACCCCCGCTGCCGTGACGGACCCCAGGGCCACGGCCTGCCGGAAGCTTCTGCCTCAGCTTGGCGCCACTGTTGGGCCTGCCGATGCTGCTGAGCTCCTGCTCGATGGAGCACAGATCTGCCATGAGGGCGTCCAGGTCCACTGGGTCTCCCTGGTTCAGAGCCTCTGAAAGCACAGCAATAAATCAGCCTATTGTGAACAGGGACACCCAGGTTACAGACACAGACCTCCCTTCTAGAGTTTACATGTTGGTTCAGAACTACCACATCATCTTGGCAAATCACATAAGAGGAGAAACAGCAATTTATGGGGGAAAATACCAATTCTGTGCCTTTTGGTGCCCGCACAAAAGGCCAACGCACCGTTGATGTTGTACATGGAGAAGCGGTAGGAGAAGTTGGCCAAGTTGGTCTCCTGTCTGAGTGGGGCCTTCTGCACTTTCTCTGGTTTCCCATCATCCAGACTCTGCAGGGGTTGAGCGAACTCTCAAATTGGGCTGACACCTTCATCGAATGCTCACAGAACCTTATCAAACAGGTGGCATCGCTATCTGTAGCAGCAATGCATTACTGACAACCCTCACATTCTGTATATTTTGATATGCAACACCCCACAAACACCCCACAAACGCCCCACAAACGCCCCACAAACGCCCCACAAACGCCCCACAAACGCCCCACAACACACAGAAATACTCATTTTGTGTCAACTGGTGACAAGTGTCAAATTTTCCAATCACAAAGAACACCCCCATACCTTGGTCAGTTTGTCCAGCTCCCCCAGCCAGGCTCCGAACATCTTGTCCAGGTCCTGGTCCTCCTTGTCACTGTCCTCTTCTGCGGCATGATCCAGCTCCTCGTCGGAAAGCTGATCCATCTGAAATCACAGTGCCAGCAGACGCTCTTAGCTCCATCAGGTGCAGTGCAGCACGGAATGTCGCTATGGTAACTGAAGGTAAAAGAAGTTGCTGAAGGGTACAAGAGCAGTCGGTATAGTATATCGCAGTTTAAAAATAATGCAGAGTACAGCGATCCAAACCCAGAAATCTTTCACAGAACATAACTGTCATACAAATCCCACTGTATTATCTTGGGAAAGTAGTGCTTTTATAATTGAGCGCTTTAGAAGCAACTACCTGCACAAAAGATTCCAACATTTATACAAAGAATATAACTAAAACAAAGTATGGCTTCAGGCTAAGGACCATGGACATGCTGAGCAGTAATGCAGTGAACTTTAATTATTCTAGCTGAAACGGAAGAGGAAAGGCGCCATCTAGTGGAGAATGGTTTAGTAACAATCTTCCAAGGAAGCAAACTGAAATTGCTAAAACCTCAAGTTTAATCAACTCAGACACATACAGGCTGCACCTTCTGCCAGTTAAATGAGATCAGGCTACACTGCTGCTGCTAAAGCAAACCAGTAAATTTGGATTTGGTACTCTCCAAAAACACAGTTTAATGCCCAACTTTACAAGTCACACACACACACACACACACACACACACACACACACACACACACACACACACACACAAAGCAGATCCTCAAAGAATCTTCCATCTGTCTTACAGGGACCCCAGGGAACTGTTGGCTCAGCACTCAAATATGCAGTCAGTACTGAGTTGACTCCCCCAGGCTCTGTAGCCGGTGATGTCATAAGCCACACACATGCAGTCATATGGTACTAGGGTTGCAAAGGGGCGGAAAATTTCCGGTAAATTTCCGGAAAGTTTCCGGTAAATT